CATGGTCTCCCAGCTAGCTACAACTCTCCCTTTCTGAGTGGAGCTTGCTCTCCTTTGTCTCTTCATTTCCTAGAGCTACAGAGAAGTATGGATATTCAAGTGGCTGAGTAACCTGCATGTAGAAACCACACGCAAATTGATTGTAAACTTCTGGAGGACAGGGATCTCCTCATTCTTTATTGTGCTCCGAGGACATTGTGTGCAATGCTAAGCATCCAAGGAGAAAATGATAAATATTTGATGAATTAAGCTTAAAAATTTTAGCTCTGAAGGTCAGAGTGTATTAATTAACATAATATTTTCTAGAGCTTACAAGGCCCCTTATGAACTTTCTGTAAACCATACTTGGTGAAACCAATAGGACCTTCAGGTCAATAAGATTCTCAAGGCTGAAGTCTTGGAACTCTGGTTTGGCTTTTAGGGCTTCTATAGACTTTCATAGTCAGAACAGTAAAGGGATGGTTCAGTGGTCAAATATCTGACCAACTCTGCCCATTGCACCCATCCTCTCCCATCCCAGACAGATTCTCCTTCTTCCCTGTAATGAATTCTTAAAATTCAATGTTTTCCTAGCCATTTGGCTCCCTATATGGAACACAGGGACATGTAAACTCTGTTTTGTTTTTCCCAGACTTTTCCTGAAGGGATATGGTGAAATCTGCCATAGCGGTATATATAATTCAGTGTTAACACATAACATGGCATTATCCACAGTGTCCTACATAGCCAAAGGTATTGAATTTTACTAAAAGAAGGGGAAAAAGAGAATAGGGTTTCAGCCGTTTTCTGATTACATGACCAGACGATGCCACAAACTCTTGGCACAGGCGATAAGTACACACTGTGCTGGAAAATCAATAGTTTGTGAAGGGGATCCTGAAGGGAACTTTCCGTTATTGAGGTTTGAAATAACTTAGCCCCATACTCATAAATTCCTGCAGCGCAGGGTGCGCTGTGTCCCAAAGCAAGAAAACACAAGTCTTGCCCTAGACCTACAAAACAGGGAGCTGTTATTTCTAGTTTTAAAATGGTAAAGGTCTCATTTGCAAGGTCTCATCTTACTGGGTCTTCCTTTCTTAGATGGTATTTGGGGCTGCAAAGGACAATAGAACACTTGGGTGTTCCGAAGACCTGGGTTCAAATCCCAATGTGGGACCCTGGGTAAGTCTTAACCTCTCTGTGCCTCTGTCTTCTCATCAGTAAAATGTGAGGGGTTAGACTAGATAACGTTGCAGGTCTTCTTCATCTGTAAATGTAGGCAATAGTGTAATAGTAGGCAAGAGAATGTATGCTTGTGGACATACTATAATTTGATTTTAAGAAAACAAGATGCACCAATTACAAATTTCTTAAATAGAAAAATTGAAATCACTATTATTAATCACACAAAGAGCTGCCCTGGGTTTTCTTTAAGTGCCAAGCTCTCCTGTTGTGTTTAATACATGATTCTTTAAAAAAAAACACATTGAAATATAGGCAACTTCTCATAGATGTGTGTAAAATGAGGCATGGTTATGTGTGCTGGTTACTCAAGCTGGGAAGATAATTCTTCCTCCCTTGCTGGGTAATTTTTCACAGGAAATCTCTATAACTGTTTGTAGTAACTCATTTGAGTAGCTAGGTGGCACAGTGGATAGAGTTTCAGGCCTGGAGCCAGGAAGACTCTTCCTGAGTTCAAATCTGGCTTCAGACATTTACTAGCTGTGTGACTCTGGGCAAGTCACTTAACCCTGTTGGCCTCAGTTTCTTCCTCTGTAAAATGAATGGGAGAAGGAAATAGCAAACCACTTCAGAATCTCTGCCAAGAACCCAAATAGTGTCACTAAGTGTTGGACACATTTGGACAAGTGACTCATTTTGCACATCCCTCCACATTCCTGGTACCTATTTTTGAAGTCTATAGTTGTTTCCAATTTGTCACCCCTCTTAGAATGTGGGTTCCTTAAGGAAGACAGGGAATAGGCATTTATTAAGCACTTACTGTGTGCCAGGCACTGTGTTAAACACTTTACAGAGATTTCATTTGATCCTCACAACAGCCCTAGGAAACAGGTGCTATAATTAACCTCATTTTGCAGATGAAGAAACTGAAGCAGCCAGATATTATGTGACTTTCCCGGGGGCATACAGATAGTAAGTGATTGAGGCTGAATTTGAAGTCAGGTCTTCCTTGATTCTAGGCCCAGTGCATCATCCACTGTGCCTCCTAGCCATCTCTGAGGGTAAGGACTATTGTCCTTTTTCTTCATATCCTTATCATTTAGCACAGTGTTTTGTACATAATAAGAACTCAATGAATGCTTGTTGACTGAGAAAGACAATGAGTAGGCTATATACTCTCCACTGCTCTGTGTACTCCTGAAGTACTAAAACTTATCTACCAATAGAACTGGCCTGTTGTTGTTCAGTCATTTCAGTCTCATCTGACTCTCTGTGACACCATTTTGGGCTTTCTTAGCAAAGATACTGGAGTAGTTTGCCATTTACTTCTCCAGCTAATTTTATAGATGAGGAAGTGAGGCAAACAGGGTTAAGTGACTTGCCCAGGGTCACACAGCTAGTAAGTGTCTGAGGCCAGATTTGAACTCAGGGGAAGATTCCTGACTATAGGTCTGGCACTCTATATCCACTGATGTAAGTATGTGTGTATGTATATATGTAAGCATATGTGTGTATGCATACATATGTATGTGTATATCCTTTTTTCTTTTAAACCTATGAAATTAAAGCATCTTTAAGCCTCAGTTTCTTTATAGGGTTAGAAGAACACCACATTTAGAGCCAGAGTACTTAGGTAGTGATCCCATAGCTCTGATTCACTACACGTGTGCCCCTTATCAAATCTTTTCACTCCTCTGGACCTCAGTTTCATCTGTAAAATGGGAGGGGGGGGAGGGGGGACTTGATAACAAGTCAGTGTAGTACAATACGAAGAGCACCAGCTCGAGTCAAAGGGCTTATATTCAAATCGCAACTCCAAAACTCCCTGCAGTTTTATACAAGTAAGTCACTCAACCTCTGGGAGCCTCAGTTTCCTCATGTGTAAAATGATGAGGGGGGGATAAAATTAATGAGGAGGTAGTACCAACCAGTGAAAAGAACACTGGTTCTGGAATCAGAAGACCTGGGTTCGAATCCCAGTTAACACTACCTGTGTGACCTTATGCAACTCATTTAACTTCAGTGGGCTTCGATTTCTTCTATAAAATGATATGATTGGACTTCAGACTGGCAGTGCTTATGGGTCCCTTCTCAGAATGTTTTTATATGCATAAAATGCAACAGCTAGCCATGTGACCCTGGGCAAATCACTTAACCCTGTTTGCCTCAGTTTCCTCATCTTTAAAGTGAGCTGGAGAAGGAAATGGCAGACCACTCCAGTTTCTTTGCTAAGAAAATCCCAAATGCGATCGTAAAGAGTCAGACATGATGAGATGACTCAACAAGAAAATATATATATGAAATATACAGGATTACAAAGGAAACCAAGGAACATTGAAACACAATTATAATTTTTTTAAGTTCGTAGACCCCAAGTTAAGAACTACTGGGCTAGATGGCCTCTGAAGACCTCTTCAGCACTAGATCTATGATCCTATGACCTCTAAGATCGCTTGCAGTTACTAATCCTATGATCTTTCAAAAGATATCATTGATATAATTTACAACATGTATTTTAAAACAATGTTTCCTAAGATATATATTTTATAAGACATTATTGAAGAGACATCTAGGATACAATTCTTGTAGGACTCCAAGATCACCCAGTTTCATCTTCCAGCTGAACACTATAGTTTGACTTTTCCTTCCTTGTTCTTTGATGAATGGTTTGGGAGACATTTGTACACTAGAGAAAATGAATGTATTTTTGAAAAAGAATTCTCAGAAAGAAGGAATAAAGAGATCACTTTTCTCTTGGCTAAAGGGGTACCTGGTAACTCAAAATGAAACATCAGGATGTAGGTAATGCTCAGAGTACTTTAATATACAATGCCCTCGTTCAATCTTTGAAAAGAGCTGTGAATGATACAGAAAAGCAAGGGTCCAAATGCTTGAAAAAAAGGGGGGAGGGGGAGATCCTTGATGTACAGCCCAACCCTAAGTTTCTATAGGAGCAGAATAACCTAACTATCATAAAGTTAAATAACTTCCTTATATGTTATGGGATGTACTGTAGGGAAAACAGAATTCAGTGTCAGAAGTGGTTCCTTTGTAAACCCAAGGGAAAGTAATCATCCTTTTTCAAGTATCTGGGCTTTAAAGGTGAGCTCTTCCCAGATTATAATATGCCAACCAAAGAGACACTTTTTGGCATCAACTCCAAAAAGGTCTCAGCCATATCCCCCCTTTCCCTATTATATCCTTGGCATACTTGCCTCCCAAACCTTTGTCAACATTTATATCTGAGTGGTGCCTAGGAAAGAACTCTGGATTTAGAATCTGAGAAATTGGATCTTGGGCCAATCATCACCTCTTTAAGCCTCCCTTCTTCATCTGTTAAAGCAAAGGATTAGACTAGATGACTCTGAATGTCCCCACTATCTCTAAATCTAAGATCCTAACACACCCCACAAAAAAAGACCCAGTAAATGCATACAGATGATAATGATTGAATCCTATCATTTGTCTTTATTAAAAAAAGAAGGCCCACACTCCTTTTAGATGTGTGGAATGTGTAGAAGACTCAGAACATTGAGCCTCAGGGGTCTCCTTTGCCAGTTCAAAACGACCTGATTTTAAAGTCATTTACTGCTGAGTCAATTCTGAGCCAAGAATTTTTGGCACCTACTAGCTATGTTCTTTAGGAGCCGACTGAGCCAGTCAGAGATCAGCTGGCAGCAAGCAGGACATTTTAAATTTATTGTGCTCCAATCAGAAAGCTGCTGAATACTGTGCTTCTTAGAAAAGTGCTGCCCTTGTCCTTTTCAATGATAAGTGCATCGGTATTCATTAGCAAACAGCTTTTAACCAGTGCAGACACTGAAGACAGTAGACACCAATCAATAGAAAAAAATAACTTCTTTTTATTTACAAAAAAAAAAATCCAAATATTGGATGCTGTAAACAAAATTCACAATCTGTTCCCTCTAGTACTGATGCAAACATGTCAGTTCTTGAGTCTGTTTTCCATCAACTCTCTTTCTGCCTGTGACAGAGCCTATTGTCAAAATATTCCAAGAGCAATCCATGGATCAGTTTGCTGCAACAGGATGCCCTGAGAAGGCCATAGTAGGGTAGGGGTTGGAGGAATAACCCATCGGCACCATCTCTTCCATACTGCAAGATTCTGCAGCTGCCTAGCCAAACTGTCTTGAAATTGTCACTTTCCCTGTTCACTTTGTTAGCAAGCCATTATTACAACAGCAAAACATTACAGAGATTTCCTTCCTTCACCCTGAAAGGGCTCCACTCAAAGGAAACCTTATCAAATGAGTATATTGAAATAGGTGCTGGATATGGAATTATACTTTTTTTTTTGCCTTTTGGTTTCATCTCACACACTTCATCTTCAAAAAAAAAAGCTTATTTTTGAGCTGCTTGAGAGCTCTCAACAGAATACATTTCATTTACAAAATATTCCACAATAGTCATTACAAGTTATGCATTTAAAGGATTTGATGCATTGTAAAGCAACAAACAATATAAGCTAACAAAAAGGGCTGGTAGAAATTGTATGCTGTTCTCTAAATGTGTCATGCTTAATTGAAAATGGCATCATTCTTCAACTATTGCATTTAAGGGCAACATTAAAATAGTTCATCTAACTGAAGCTTTCACGTGCTAAATCTGTTTTATGAGAAAAAAAAATCTCTCTCCATATACAAATATCTATATATCCTCAGTGTAAAATCCTTGAGGCAGCTGGGTTTATTACCAATGAGATAAACTTTTGACAGGAAATGGTCTCATTCATTAATTTATTTCTTCCTGATTATCCAATCAGATGAGGAGAACCTCCAGTAGATTAAATCTCCTCGGCAGTCTAAGTCAGAGAGGTAAAGGAGAGCAAGTCACAAGCATGACTCAGCAGCTGATTCAGTAGAAAGTGAGGCCTCTGAAGTCACAGAACCTGGGTTCAAATCCTGTGTTGGATGGGCTTCATTTCCCTCAGCTGTAAACTGAAAGGGTTGAACAAGATAAGTCTCTGAGGCCCCTTGAAGCTCTAGATTGATAATGATCTATTATGTCCTGGTACACACGGGGTGTTCTTTTTCTGAAGCCAGATATCCAAAATAATTTCAGCAGATTATATAAAGTGGTGGGGGGGAAAACAACATACGTACATTCCACCATTTGTTCAGATACATATGCATAGAGGACTATAGTATATATATAATAGAAATAAATTATATCATTCAAGATGCAAAGACTGAAGGTTGTCTGAAGCACAGCTTAAAAGGACCTGAAGGCAAGATGCTGTCATTTAAAACTATGCAACCAACATTTTATCAAGCAGGAAAAGGACACAAATGTGAAAGGAAAATAAAGGGAAAAAATTTATGTATTTATATATATATGTATATATATATATATATATATATATATACACACATACATACATACATACATATATACTGTAAGATCAGGCTCCTCCAGACAAATCGACTATGTCATAAATTAATAGCATATTTGTGGTTGCCACACAGACAGCCCCCCTCCAAACACTTTTAAAATAGTGAATGACTCATTTGCAAATAGTTGTGCTACAAAGGGATGTCCCAAATCACCAGCTGCTCCTATTTCCCCTGTCTTCCCAGGATTTTATCCTAGAAAATCCTCCCAGCGGTTAATGTGAGCAGATTTCTGACAAGTGGGTCTTGGGCTTGATTAGGAGGTGAAGAAAGAATGGGCCCCGGGAAACAAACTTTGCCTCTTCACTTTAATTTGAAGACTTTTCATGGGCAGAAAGGGAAGGAGAGAGTGAGGAGGAGAAGATGGGAACCAAGATGGGAACCAAGCTGGGGGCAAGTAAGAAGAGGATCCCTAGTAAACACAGTAAATGGCAGTGCAATAGCTTTATGGTTCCTGCAGAAATCACAGGGAAGGCGCTATAGTAAACAAACCAGGTTCCTGTTACAACTTCAAAGAAAGGAGTACAGAAGGCAGTAAAAATGGATGTACTCAGTCATATATGTCTTAATAACTCCAAGAAAGCAAATCAAAACCGTTAAAATACACTGCCAGCAGGGTGATGGGCTCTTCCTTGATTCCCTTGAATTTTTCTTAATGTTAAAACTGCTGCTCTTAAGATGAAATGCCATAGTAAGTAGTCTTCCTCTAGGGTCTGAGTTTGCTTTGTTCCTTGCTGGTTGTTTTTTTAAAAAATAGTTTTTATCTATTGTGCATTTTCGTTTTTAATTATTTCATTGAAGAGACCGGAATTTGGCGGAATTCAAAGAGGAGGGGTGGAAGTGTCATTTAAGCTGAAATCATAATGCATGATCTTTTTACAAATGTAGAATTAATTGGTCTCTTGGGAAAGAGGAAATGAAAGTGAATTGTTTTAATGCAAAGTGATTTAAAGTACAGTACTGAACATTTAAATGCAGTGTGACACCCAGATTAGAGATGTTTCATGTTTGCATGAATTTATAAATTTTATATTATATATCTCTATATATTTCATATATAAATTTAAGCCATTGTGCAACACTCTTAAAAGGGTCATTTCACATTTGCTAAATTCTAGTGGTCCTGGAATGCAGAGTGCATTCTGTAAAAATATTAATTTAACTATTAACAAGTAATGTTCCAATCACCAACTAAGACAATCTCCTTTTAGCAGTCAGCTATTAAATAGTCTACCTTTGATCCACGTTTCACTGATTTATACATTGCAGAGATATGCAGTCAAGAAGAAATTGTGGGTTGGTAACTGTCAAAATGACAGTATAGTGTACAACATTAAGAGGAACCATTAATCAAATGTTCTTGTACTTGTGGCAGACTATGGCTCAGAGATAACTCACTAAATCATGTCTTCTCTGTTCTTACTCTCATATCGTTTACCTTCTTCTTCCAAACGGGTTATTTACTTCAGAAATTTAGATATGTTATAAATTCATCACTGCAATGTGCCCAAGTCTCATGACATCCTGCTGGAAACTGGAAAACACACACAGTACTTTATTTAAACACTCCCTAATTGCTACATTATCCTAGACCAAATTCAATGTATTGTGTGTATATATACATATATCACATACACATATATACACACACATAATATACACACATACATATGGCAACTATAACATCACACTGACAATAATATTAACTTTATACAAGTATTTGCCAAGAAAAATAGGGCATTTCCTCCGCCATTTATTCACAAGCTTATGTTGGGCTATGTTTTTTTCTTCTGTCCCTGATAAAACAAAATACATGGTTAAACCACAAAATTATGTTGTTGTTTTACTTCAAATTTTCTGAAGGCAACAGGCACTTTGATTCATATTGGTGTATACAAATATAGTATTTTTTTTTAAATATTATACTACCCTTTCTCTACTTGGGTATTTTATCTGTGAAATCTTTGGTCCTTGAGCATACTTTCTTTGCTGCAGCTGTTTTTGTTTGCATTTTCACATTTTAAAAAAGTGAACCATGCACTCAGCTGGAAATAATGGAATATGTCATTGTAAGGTCTGCTGTTTTTCATGATCACTATACCAATCTACTACTGTTCATTTGGAGCAAGCTGTTCAGTTAGAGCATTCTATTCAAGCAAGCAATACATTCTATGGGATCATTCCACAGACAGCATCTGTTTGCAAGCTCCAGAGACAGCCATTCCAATATATTTGAGATCAGCTTTTCTCTGCATTATGCCTCTACATTTTTTTAAATTAAACTCCAAAATATATAGTAGTAAATTGGGTAAAATTAATTTTTTTTCACATTCTCCCATTTTCAAATATCATGCTAGAAAAAGCTTTCCAACTTTGTCTATGCCAAAGCTATGGGAGCAGGTACTGCAAAACCCATATTGTCATCAAGCACTCCTTCTCTTTTTATTTCAGGAGAAGCTGGTTGCTTTTAATGACAGGCCTCTTGTGCTCCAGGGTAGAATCCAATTTTTTTCTTTTTTTTCTTTTTTGTTTTTTTTTGTTTGTTTTGTTTTGTTTGTTTGTTTAATTTGGTTCATTTCTAGATCATGCTCCCATATCTATTAAAAGACCCATAAGCTTTGTCAAGCTTGAACACTGGAGCAGACCATCATTGCACAAAACACACCCCATTCTACAGACAGGGTCACTCTATTTTTTTTAACTTCTTAGGAAAAAAAAATCCACTGGACATTTTAGAAATGGTCCTTAATTGCAGGGCAACCAAGTAGAGTATGTGTGCTGCTGGCATGTGAAGACTGGCTGAACCTGGGCAATATAGTAATTGCTAAAGTTGGCATCTGCTACATATGGGGCTGGCTGGTAGTAACAGGTGACATTTGCCACATTGGGGATAATATTTTGCTCAGCCAGCACACGGATAGCCAGCATGGTAATGAGATTCAAAGTCTGTCTTCTCTCATGTCCCATCAAACACACCGTACTTTCATTCACCACACCGTGAAGGGTCATGAGATAGTCATACTTGCGGTCTTCCAAACCCACAAAGTGGTTCTGCAAGTAGGATTCCAACTTTCTTTGCTGTTCACCAATGTCTGAGAAGTCGATGAAAAATCTGGAACACATATACCTCTGGAGGGACTTAATTTCAGCTTCAGAAGCAGCCCTAAAGCCCCTAACCAAAAGGTTACAGTATTTGAGAAGCCCACCTCCTCTGATTTCTTCTGGATTTCTGGTAGCAATGACCTTGTTGCAAAGGTGATCAAAGGCTTCTTGGAAATCCCCATAGACACTTTCCCCAATTATAGTGGGGTGAAAAGTTTCAGTCATTGGATTCTCTGAGCATTCATAAAAAAGGAGGAGAGAGTCTAATTTGATTTGGAAAGAGTCTACACTGAACTCAAACTGGCGCCGCAGGGAATCCACAAATTTCAGTTCCACATTTTTGCCACTGTTGTTTGACAGGGAGATGAGACTCCAGCGGTCTGAGTCATTGCATACTTTTACCATTTTCTGCACATAAGCTTCCTAAAACATGAAAGACAAAGCAAGCAGATGAACACGACCACTAATTTAAATCAACCTCCTTTCACAAGTTAGAATGCAGCTGGCTCCTTTCACATTTTACCCAAACGCCCTAGGCTACCTACGGGTTTCAATACCCTCCCCCACAACAAGCTCATCCCCTTGGTACATGTGGCTTTTGCAGCCTGGGAGGGAGAAAAGAAAAATAGTAGTTTGATGTTCCTAGCAGATACGGCTCAGTACTAACAGGTTCTGGGACAATGTCGGTAGTATGATATCTTGAGAAGGCTGACTGCTCACACAATTTTAACCAGTTGCAAAAATGTCGCCAAAAAGGCTGACTCTGTAAGCCTTAAAGCATGCGGGCTTCCAGAATCCAGAGCCCACAACCGATTCATATTTTCCAATACAACAGCACTCAACTCATTGTCTCAGTCTTACTTATTCAAGCCAGTCTCACTAAGCTGGGAATTTTACTGCTAACAGGACTCAAAGAAATTTAAATGGTTAAATAAATACAGAAATTAAAATAAGCGACTTCCAAACGTCACTACTTTTTAATTCCTGAGATCCGTTCCAAGAGAAACTTTCTCAGGTAATGCACGCAAAACTTTTTAAAATAAAATAAGATAAAATAAAATAAAAAGGGGCATAGGAAGAAGGAAACAAAATATTTAGTAAAATAGTAAGCGCCTACTATGTGCGCTCTAGACACATTTTTACAAATGCTTAAAATTAAGTGAGCGACCAAACTCTGAAGACTCCAAAATTTATTTTCCAAACTGACGCTAGGTTGCACACACTTTACAGAGCCTCTGGTTGGGGGAGGGTGGGAAGGGGGGTGCAGAGAGCTTGAAAGGGAGTAAGGAAGCTAAGAAGTGACTTAAAGTAATACATATCTCCTATATGGCACGACTACATTGCAGACGACTGGTAAGGGAAATGGGACGAGGGGACAGGGGGAAATGGAACGCTCCTAAAGCACCATCAGTCAAAACTAACTTTTCCGGCTCCATTCCCGGATCAAGCAAGTCCTACTGACTTCCTTTGCAAGTCAATTCATTAGGAAGATTGGCTTTACCTTAAGAGTCAGCGGCGTGATCTTCTCCTTATTCACTCCTTCGGGCAAGAAATCCAAAAGGCAGTCTAGGACCACGTCCTTGACAGTCTGAAACTCCTCTTCCCCCTGGAGATCCGCGCAGAAGATGAGATCCAGGTCCTTGTAGCCCAGGCCACTATCCTGGTGCAGTACGTGGCTGGCGGCTGAGCCGTTGAGCCGCACGTCACGGACCCCGATGCGCTTCTCCTCCAGGCGGCTTCTCACCACCTTCACGATCTGACGCGGCTGCATCTCTAGGGTGGGAAAGTTGCCCCGGCCGTGGATGGGGATCGTCTCGCTCAAGATGTCGTCTAGTCGCTGCACTTGCTCCCAGTTCAGGACGTTGCAATGCATGGTGGGGTTCTCACAGCAGCTAACACAGCAGTTATTCCCACCGAAGCTGCTGTTGCTGCAGCTGCAACCGCACCATTCGCTGCTGCTACCAGTACAGATGCGGGTGCTTTTGACACTTTCGTCATCAGCCATGGTAAAGAGCCGTTTTCCCTCCGTTGCGAAATGCCCAGTGAACGCCAGGTTTTGCCCTAGGAGATAAGAAAGAAAAAGAAAAGAAGATAAGTTAGAACCAGAAAGCTGGTGGCTGGCTGCGAGGAGTCAGAGCCCCGTGACAGCCTTAAGATCCCAACCTAGGAGTTGCTAGATTGTTTTCCACTCCAGATCTAAGTAAGATTTTCGCTTTCCTCTCTAGCCTAAACCCGGACCTCTCTTCCTTCCCCCACATTACACAGACTGGAAACCCCCGCAGTTTAGCCCAAAATACAGAGTAGTCTCAGCGGCAAAAGGATGAATTGGGACTGATCCCGTGTTCCCGTCCCACTTTTGTCACACCTGGACTCGGTCGCAGCCTCCTGGTCCGAAGAGTTATGAGTGTGTGAACACAACAGCGAAGGAGAGAAACCTTGGAACAAAGTGCAGAGGAGCCGTTGGTAGTTGAAAGTGCAGAGTCGAGTAAAGGGGCTTCTTTTCCTGAACCCCGACCAATTTAACCTCTTTCGTACTTTCTTTCTGTGGCTCTCCTCGCTCCCTGGCTGGATGGCAGAAAGTGCAGGTCTCTCTGTGCGCTAGATCTTTACTCTTTTTCCTCACCTCCTCTTCTTAAGCCCTGCTCTCTCTCACTTCCAGGAGACTAGGGCAGCGGCCGTCGGAGCTACTCTATCCTGGGCTGCCACTTGCCTCCCGGCGCTTCTGCTGCTGCTGCTGCTGCCGCCGCAGCTGCCGTCCCGCCACCACCGCCTTTACCTAAGCTTCTGTCTCTAGAGCTTTAGCAGTTCTGCTTGGGAAATGTCTTCTGTACTTTTTTTATATGGGATTTCTCCGCGCTTCCGGGGCTCCAGGTCCCTGCACTTTAGCCACACCCACCTCATCTGCATAGAGAGCGGCCTTCGTACCCTGCTGTGGCTCCCCCGCCCACCTCATTTACATAGAAAACTGCTCCTGCGCTCCCAACCGAGAGTACTAGAACCATCTTTTGAGAGAGAACACCACCCTTCTTTTTTTTTATTCCTACGCCACCTCTTTCTTTCCCCTAAGAGGCAGCATTGAAAATAGCTTTAAAAAAGAAAGAAAGAAAAAAGCTTAAGTAGGCTACTGAAATCATATTACCTCTTCTGAACTACTGAAACTTCCTGAAAAAAAAAATAGAACTTATTTTGCAAGGTATTGCTACTTGTCACTTCATTAATTATTCTCAGCTAAACGAGTGGAAATCCCAAGAGGTTCCTTTAATAAAGTATATTAGACAAACATATGAATGAATGCGGGTTATTCATAAAGTCTAAACGGTTTTTTTAGATTTCTCCTTTAACAACCTTGATTTAAATGTAAGTCTACTGCCTACACTTTTCCTATCAACCATACTTTAATACGGAAGAGAAAGAGTTCGGGCTAATTGAGATTCAGCTCCAGCAACAAGTATATATGCCAATGAGTACAACCAAAGAGATAGTTCCTGAGATTCTGGCAGGGCGCACCAGGGGAGGATGCTGATGACTCATGCACCCACGTAAAAAGTGTTTCTCCTAGGGCTGGATTAAGAATAGAAGAACAACAGCAGCCTCATGCACAGCTGGAGTCGCAGCAGCTCGACTGGACCAAACGTCACTGAGACCTGAGCTTCAGCCCCAGCTGAGAGGCGAATCCTGGAGGCTCTGATGAGGGAAAGTCTAGACCAATCACCGAAGCCTCCCCGATGACGCTTGTGCCTCTCTCTTGTCTAGTGGAAGGGAGGGTAGCGGAGGTGGGGGGGGTGGGAGAAGAAGCCAATGGGAGAGTTACGAGGGCGGAGCTGTGCCTGCTGTCAGAACTGTCTGAATGGGCTCCGTGAGCGAAAGAAGGGGGGGAGGGGAGAAGAGGGAAGATGTTGCTCTGAAAGGGACCAATCCACCCACTCAGGACAGCTTAGCAGCGACTCTGTCCTGTCACGTTTTCTAGAAAAGACTAAAAAAGGCACTTTTTGTGCTTCTTACCCGTTGCACCCTACTAAAACTTTTTTTTTAAAAGAGAGCATGCAATAGACAAATTATTTTTAAATGCGCTCTCTCTCTCTCTCTCTCTCTCTCTCTCTCTGTCTCTCTCTCTCTCTCTCTCTCTCTCTCTCTCTCTCTCTCTCTCTCTCTCTCTCTCTCTCTCTCTCTCCCCCTCACCCCACCCCCCAGATCATAAAAGTGAAAGGGTTTCTCTCCCACATCCAGGGCATGAATGGGTGACGATCACTTTCAGAATTCCGTTTCGATGGCCTGTGATTCGGCTCTCTGAAGTGTACCAAAGTTCAACATTTGTAATGCAGAAGAGTCCCTTTTACATCATCACTAAGGCAAGATGAATCTGTGCTTTGATAGAAAGCACTGTTTCTGACAAAAGTGTGAGAAAAAAAATCCATTCTTGAAACCTACATGTGTATTTGTGCTTTGAGTAGTACGTGGAGTACTAGGAAGAGATAATGGGGAGTAACAGCTGGGAGTGCTAGGAGCCCACTATATACACTAGAGCGTCAGGAGGTAAAGGAGAATTTGCCACAGCCCCTTTGGCACTCTCATGCATCCAGGGGAATCTCTAGACAATGCGTCCGCGCTTGAGTCACTCTAAATGAGGAATGGAGACGCTTTGCAACTGAAACAGGATCGCTGGATGTTTGCTACTCTGAGGGGGTGCCCGGAGAGCATGCAGCTGTGTGACAAGGCGTCCCCCTGCCGGAGACAGAAAGAAACACACACAAACCCAAAGCAAACTCCATTAACTGCTGGGGGTGGCTGGTGGTCAAAAACTAGTAACTTGGAAAATAGTCCAGAACTCGGGAGCATTCCTTTAGGCCAGATAATAGTAGAATGAATGATCTCTCCCTGACTTATCTAAACAATTCAAACACATTCAGCCACTCTTATATACACCCTGTCGTCAGAGCCAACACTTGAAAACTTCTCCCTAAACTGAAGGGAGGGTAAAGTAGGGGAAAGCGGTTGAATGACTTTAAATTTCCGGTTTTTAAAAAGATCTTCTGTATTCAGAGCAGATTTAGGTCCACTGGAGAGAATAAAAAGGAAAATAAAATGTTTTTCCCTATTTAGGTTTATAACAATTTTCTTTTGGCTATTCATGTTATTAAGTAAAAGGAAAATCTGGTCACAGGACAAGTAGAAACCATCTTCAGTCCTACAGATTCGGTCGAATTTCTCTGTCTGACAGATCAACCCGATCTCTCATACACCTTCAAGGATCATGGTTCTAGAATTTGAAGGGACTTTACCAGAGGACATCTATTCCAAAGTTTCCATTTTACTGGTTAGGGAACTGAGGTCAGGGGAAGTAAGAATCAGGAGACCTGGGTTCCAAGACCTTACTTGAATGACTGACTTATTGACTACCACCTAGAAGAACCTTGTTTAATGGTTGATTGACTGGCTATGCGCACATGAACAAGGCATTTAATTTTTCTGTCCTTCATATTCCTTATCAGCAAAATAAGGGAGATCGCCATAACAAAGATGAAGATGAGGAGCAGGAGGAAGAGGAAGAGGAGAAGGATGATGATTCCTCATTTTAAGCTTTACAAAGTTCTTTGCTTGAAAAAGTCCTGTAAGGCAAACATTGCAAGTGTGAATTAGTTGCTACTAAAGGTCTCTTCCAGCTCTGAAGTGTGAAGTTTCTCTAGTATATTACAGTAATCATTGATTCTTCATGCCTACAATTTATGAACTAGCTAACTTGCATCCAAGTATTCTAGAGGATGTAACTCAAAGTTTAAATTACAGGACTGAGTTTGTGTGTAGCAATGATGGAAGAGGCTACTCTAGAGAACAGGACCATGACTTATTCTATTCCTAGGTACCTCGCTCAATTTCAATTGATATTTATAAAGCACCTACTATATGCCAGACACAGTGCTAAGTGATAGGGATAGGAAAAGGGGCAAAAGACAGTCCCTGCCCTCCAGGAGCTTATACTTTAATGGGGAAGACAATATGTAAACAAATCAAATATATGTGAATATATACGTGTGTGTATGTTATACACACACACATTTAGAAAGACTCTTTGTAGAGAAACAGACTATTTGGTTTCTTAGAAAGTACTTAAAGCCTACCTATGTCTCTTTGGCACAGAGTTGGTTGAAAATACAACATATGTTATGAATGTTTCACATCTGTGAAATTCACTGTGCGGAGATTTGTATTGATTCAGCAAAACTGGTGTTAAAGTTAAAAAACTTTTCTTTTTCAGTACACTTACTCTTGAAAGGATTGGCAGAGTACTAACCTGAACAAATAAATTTATGTCATTCTGCTTAAGAATTTAGAACATCAAAAACATATTTGAGAATAAAACTGACACTCTATGCCAAGAAGTGATGTGGTCATTGAAGTAGGAGTAGTTTTATGAAGGACAATCTAAACTCAGGAACTCAACCTCTCTGGGAGATGTTGGGATATTGTCTGATTTAGCCATTACTTTTCACAAGAATGAACACAACAGCAGAATTTTTAATGTATTTAATGATAAAAGCTGATGAGGGAGAGAGGAAGTTAGAGGTGACAGGGAGATAAGCAAGTCATAGGATCATATATTCAGAGCAACAAGGGCCCTCAGTGTCCATCTAGTCCAACTCCCTCATGTTATTAATGAGGAAACAGACCACTGGGGTGGTTGAGGGACTTGCCCAAGATCATCACATGGGGAGTAAATACCAAAGGTAGGACCTGAGACCAAATCTCTCCCTGGCTCTGGAGTGAGTTTTCCTTCCACAGTCCCAAGCTGCTTCCAAAGGCATTACAAAGAAGGCCAATCAGTATAAAACAAGGATAGTGTAATAAATCTTATATAATAAATCTATTGCAAGGCTCTCATTTTGTGGGTGAGGAAACTGAGGCATAGAAAAGTTAATTAAAGGGGAGCTAGGTGGCGCAGTACATAGAGCTCTGGCCTTGGAGTCAGGAGGACCTGAGTTCAAATCTGGTCTCAGACATTTGAAACTTACTAGCTGTGCAACCCTGGGCAAGTCACTTAACCCTGATTGCCTCACCAAAAAAAAAAAAAATTAATCAAGTTGGTTTGTCCAAGGTCACAGAGTTACTAAGGGATTGGGTTGGTATTCAAACTCAAATTTTCTGACTAAATCTAGAACTATTTCCACTGCCCTACAGATTGGGATTCCTTCCATTGGGATTACTGGGTAAATTCTCATAAACATAAACCATTATGGACTGACAAGCCATTGGTCACATAGGGTTGAACAAGATGACTTCTGATGTCACTTCTATAATTTGTCTCCTGTACAGGCCTGCTTTTTAATGCTGTATATGAGAGGGAATCTTTTATGAGTGTTATTGGTTAAAATGGCCATTTTACCTGGCTTTTTGACTCTCTTTGGTTAGGGAGAGTGGTTTTTATTTTCCTAGCCCCTCTATATAGTAGCCAAGCCAACAATTAGTCACTTCTCCCATGGGGCTGTGGTTTTGTTATACAGAATCCCCCAAAGAATCTAACACTAGAAGTGGTCTCAGAGGCCATCTGATTCAACTAGTATCTGATTGAGTGTCTCTCCTATGCCATCATAACTTCATATCTCCTTCTCCTCTCCTGGTTTCACTTTTGTCTAGGCTCCTTACTCCTATCTCTGGATGCTGTCTTGTCATTGTTCTCTAATTGATCCCTTAGGGGCAATTGGCACAAGCATAAGCACCATCAGGAAGAAGAGGGTAAAAGAGTACAGAAGTGGGATAAAGCACCCTCTCTGAACCTGCGTGGGCTTTCTAGATGGGACCTTCTTCACCTTTCACCAGCTAGACTTTGGGCACATCGACATTCCAAAAAGTAACTTCACTTAAACATGCCTTCCTCATTTGGCTGTTATTCTTAGGTTCTACAACCCTATACTCTTTTTCTTGGGGTGCTAAGGTCTCCAGTGCCTAAACTCTGCTCAGTTGAAAGTATCAGAGAATATCAGTTTAATCTCTTGCAGTGGGTAGCTGGGAGGGAGGAGAAT